ATTTTAGAGTAGGTTAACCATGGTTAAAAGAATATAACTAAAATAGTAGAAAAGTAGTAAGGATGCACTTCTTAACCATCAGAGTCTGGATTGATATTAATTAGATTGTGAGTGCTTCAACGAGGATTTTATCAGTTCCAGATCATTGTAGATCATACTGTCTGAAGTTAAAGTCCAAAATTTATTTCAATATTACCAAATTATTGAATTTAGTGACCGTTATTATCAGGCCTATAAATATTATGAGAGACTAAAGAGGAGGTAAGAAATGTTTGAGTTGGCTTCATGAATTAAGACAACGTAACACGTCGTCGGCGATCTGCCAAGAGGAATGCCACTTTGTTACAATTTTTATAGGAAACTGGTCCCTATTTATGTGTTCGGTACATGAAGAAAACCTGGAAAATTCACCTTTGGTCAGGTGTGAACCCGTGATCATCTACCGTGTTCGGTGGTTTTGTCCACTCGACCACTGGATAAGAAATTATAATAGACCCTCATAAATTTAAAACGCAAAATAAATAAAATTTTTGCTTAAAACTAGAATTAGAATAAAGTGAGTGAAATAATGATCCTTATTTTTGGATAATAAGAGTAGGGTGACAGTAAACAAAATAAAGATTTAGTCGCTGAATACAAGAATCCTAAATATCTATAATTCCTTTATATTTTCGATATAACTTTCTTATTTTATTATTATTATTATTATTATTGGAAATAATTTATTTATTTAGAAATTAGTTGGATTAGAAAACAATGGAGATCTTATAAACTTTTTTGAGAATGTTGTCAATAACCAGCAGAAGAACTTTTTTCGATTGATTGCATTCACAGAAATTTTCCTCATGCCTTTGACAATTTTCATGATATTTAGGTAAGAAACTAACTATTAAGTTTACTTATTGTATTCACAAATAAAAATTCTAAGAATTATTTTATTGTAAATTGTCGTGTTTCATTTCACATTGTCAAAATGTGATGTGTGTAAAATGATTGGAGCTTAAACACTTAATTATTATTTTAATATTATTCAATAAATTATAAATGTAATGAAAGTATAAAAACTGATTACTAATGTTTTTAATCTTTGAGAAACTCAGTCAAGATTCACTTCATACTATACATTTGTTCTGTATTATGTAATCAAAAGAACAAATATTCTGTATAATTCTTAGAATTAAAATAAAGAACAGTGGAAAAATTGTGAAGAAAATTTAAAGATAAAAATCAAATTGTTAAACTTCACTAGTTATTAATTTTGTAATTTGTTCAGAAAGATGTACAAATATAAAAATAGTCACTATAAAAAGTTGGTTTAGAAGTAATAGACAAAATTCAAAATAGAATTAAAAAGTTCTTGTAATAACATGTAAATACTCATATAACAGATTATAATTTCATATAGTTGTAACCTTCTTGCCTCTAAACTGTTAATTTAATAATCTCAATTAACCAGTTGGTAGAGATATGAGGCTTATCAAACTGCAATAGAACCAAGTAATTGAGATCACATTGAGAAATTGAGACTTTTAATTTGCAGAGTGCATTTCAGTCTTTCCTAGACTTCCTAGACATTACATCAAGACATTTCTTGATGTAATCTCAATTACTTGGTTCCATTGCAGTTTGATAAGCCTCATATTTCTACCAATTGGTTAATTGAGATAATTATTAAATTAGAATTTCATAGTTAAATATCAAGTGGGTCAAAAATTTTAATTTATTTATGCTATATTATAATGTAGAATAAGTTCAGAAAATCATTGAGGATTTTTTTTAATAAATTTTACTGGAGTATATGTAAAATTTTGGCATTGCATTAGCAACCTGTCCCTGTAAAAACTATGAGTGCTAAGGAAACAGCAAGAATAAACAGAAATTTTGATCAAATGATCAGAAATTTAGCTCCAGGTAATATGACGGGGTCGGAGGAAACTGGCAACAGTGTCTGATGTCAGAAACAATCTTTTCCACCAGAAATATGAAAATTGGAACATGGAATGTGCACACACTATATCAGAGTGGAAGACTCACTCAGCTATTACAGACATTTGATGAAAATCGGTTGGACATCCTCAGTGTCAGTGAGGTTAGATGGACAACAAATGACCGAATCAGTAGTGAAGGGAAAACCACATTGTACGCGGGCCATGAAGTGCAGCATGAGCTTGGAATAGGTCTTATTCTAAGTAAACAAGCGACAAAAACACTCTTTGTATGGAGGTCCTTCAGTGATTATTACAGCTCACTTTACCCATGGACATGCCAGAGTGACTGTGGTGCAGGTTTATGCATCAACCAATAAAATGCAGAGGACACAATAAAAGATGAATTTTATGAGCAGCTCCAAGACATCTTTGATGGTATCCCAAATCATGACCTAATGGTTATGATCAGGGACTTCAATGCCCTATTCGGGGTTCATTGAGGACTCAAGACTGATTGGTGCTCGTGCGTCCTCTGTTCATATGAGTGACAATGGAGAAAGGCTAATATTGTTTTGGGAACATGTATTTCCAACATCGGCTTATCCATAAAAAGACCTGGCATCACCAGACAGGTGTACTTTTAATGAGATAGATTTTATTTGTATTAGTAAAAAGTGGAGGTCATCACTGTGCAATGTAAGGATTTACAGAAGTGCAGATATTGGCAGATATTAAGCTCAAACTTTGTAATTAAAGGCAACTCATGCTAAAAAGACCATTTGCTATAGAAAAATTAAATGATCCAACTATCATTGAAACATTTACTCTGGAGTTGCACAATCATTTCACTCTTCTTGGAGAGATGACAGATATAAAAGATCTTTGGGGAACCTCAGAGGAATTATCATGGAGTGCACTTGCACTCAAAACGTCATTGGAAGATGAAAAGATCAGTGAATCCAAGATCACTCATAGAAGTTTATTGATGAGAGGAAAGCCACAAAATTTAAAAGGGATCAGGCTAAAACAATGGCTGAGATGGAGGAAGGAAACCAAAGATACACCAAGTTGGATAAACATGTAAAGAAAAGTTGTCAGAAAGACAGGAAGGAATAGTTAGAACGAAAGGGTACTGAAGCACAGGAGGCTTTCGACTGGAATGACTCCAAGACCCTGTATCACATAGTCTATGAATTGACTGGGACAAGGAGTAATTCCAGCATTCCAATAAAAGACAAAATGGGAAGCTTCTTATAGCTCAAGAACAGAACAAGAGATGGATGGAACACTTTTGGGAAACATTTAATTAAGCAGAATCATCCATCACATACAATTTCAATATTGAGGATACACAGAATGAGCTTCAGGTGGACACTGGCAATATTACCCTTGAAGAAGTGCAGCTTGCGATTAAAATCCTAAAGAATAATAAGGCAGCTGGACAAAATTAGCTAAGATTTTGAAACATGGAGGACAACATACGTTGGAATAGTTAACATTATTATTTAACAGGTTGTGGCAGTGTGGGGAAGTTCCAGAAGATTGGAGAGGGGGCACTATAGTCATAATTCCTAAGAGGGGAGATACCTCTGAATGTACCAACTGGCGTCACTCTCCTTTCTGTGCCTGGAAAAAGATTTTGTATGGTCCTCCATTGACGTCTGCGGATTACCCTCGATCAGCGCTTACGGGAGGAGCAAGCTCAGTTTTGCGGTGGAAGATCGTGCAGCAAGCAGATCTTCTCTTTTCAGAATATCATCGAACAATGTGTTGAGTATCAATATCCATTGATCATTAATTTTATTGATTTCAAGAAGGCTTTTGACAGTGTTCACTGCAAGTCCCTCTGGCAGATCTTGCCACTTTACAGTGTACTGACAAATTTTATCACCATTTTCAAGGCCTTATATCTGCATTCAAGTTGCTGCATCAAGACTGAAGGTGATCATAAGGACTTTTTTGAAATTATGACAGGAGTCAGGCAGGGTTATGTCCTGTCACCTTTTCTCTTCCTCATAGTCATTGATAATGTCATGCAGAAGAGACTGGTGCACACATTAGGGTCGACATCCACTGGCCTGACCAGGATTGTCTTGGAGATTTGGTTTTTCTGACGATATCACCCTATTAGAGGAAAGTAGGACAATGCTACAGCACACCACTACCACATTGTCTCAGGAGGCACACAAAATTGGCTTTGGGATAAACACTGTGAAGTCAAAAATTATGCACATGAGTAACACTGCACAAATGTGGGGAGTAATTGTTGGAGCACATTGATGGAAGTAGAGAGTTTTACCTTCTTGGGTAGTGTTATTTCCCAAAATGGCAATGCAATTCTGCATTGCCATTTTGGGAAATAATGCATCGGAAAGGCGGTGACCATTTTCTAGTGGATGAACAAGATCTGGTCCTCACCATCCATCTCATTGAGAACCAAATTCAGCCTGTTCACCTCCATTGTGATTCCAATAGCTGTTTACACTAGTGAGTCCTGGAAGACATCAGAAAACATCAGTAGAAGGCTTGATGTCTTCCAACAGACATGTTTATGACGAACCTTAAAGATGTGATATTTAGATTATATCACCAATGAAGAGGTTCTCTGAAGGAGTGGGGTGTATAAACTTCATAACATTGTCGCTCATAGAAGAGTTCGATTAGATGGCCACATTTTTCATAGGAGAACAATAGGATCCCTAAGACAGCCATGAAATGGATTCCTCCTGGTGCCAAATGACCACGACAATGCCTTGGGAATACTTGACATAGAACTTTTCTCCAAGATCTGAAGATGCTCAATATGATGTGGGAGGAAGCTGAAGTCCTTGCTCATGATTGAAATCAATGGAAGATAATTGCTGCCCAGTATGCTACTTAGCATTGGAGGAACTACTACTACTACTACTACTACTACTATGATGTGTTTTGTTTTAAGAATTTCAATTATAAGATGCATCTGAAATCAGGATATATTTTATAATAAATGTCAATAGAAACTTGCTAATTGTAAAAAAAAAATCAAGTTATGGCAAAATTGTAATTATTCATAGAAGAGTAAACTTTGTCCTATCTGTTTATCCTGTTACCAGTTTAGTTATATGTATTGACAACTCAATGCTACAACTGTTGAATTTAACTAAAATTTGAACCCAACTTTCCATTTAAAATGTACTCAAATGATTACCTTAAGATGCAGCATTATATATTTCTATAGTACTCTTTCCTAGTATGGAAAGAGTGCTATAGAATGTAAATAAATTTTCTATTTATTTATTTTACCATTAAAATTTATTTTAAAGCTTCAATCAAAGTAAAAGTTTTAGATAATTTTTTGAATAACTTTTATAAATAAATCTTCAGTACAAATAATTAAAAACTCTGCATTAACATCACCATCAAGAACATAACACTTCATTGATAAGCTAAGCTACCTTAATATAACCCTTCATTGATAAGGGTTATATTAAGGTTTTGAAAATATGTTTGTCATAATGACAAGAAGGTAATCTATAAGTAAATAATAAATGCCTTATATTATTATTAGAGAAATGAGAGTTTTTGCTTTTCAAGAAATTTTCTTGTCTCTTCAGAATGGTTTGTCCTCAAATCTGTAATTAGCATTCTGAATTTTCTTGCTCTGATGATAATTGATTTTGTAATTTGTGAGATTGTTTTCTTTTATTTAATCTTTTGTATTTTTTGTTTTTTACTCATAATTTTTTTCATATCTGATTTGTGTAATAACATTTTTAAAAAACTTTCATATTTTTTTTGTAGTNTAAATACAGTCGACCTTTCCATAACACGGTAGATACGTTTGAGTTTTATGAATCCAGCTTCTACGAGTCCAGCCAATCACAGCCCGGCACGTATTCAGTTTACGGACTACGGCTGTTTGAAAGGTTTCTTCCATAAAATTAATCAATTCTAGACTAATTCAATT